CCCGCGGTGAGGGCGGCGACCTGCGTGGTGGGGGCAGGGCAGGTGGTCGGGGATTGACTGGTGGCGTGGGTGTGTGCTAGCTGCATGCGGCACAGCGTTCTTTTTTTTTTCTGGCGAGGAATGTGTGCGTGAGGAAGGAGAAAGTTGACTTTGTGCGAAGGGACAAGTCTAATCTGACGACCTCCAGCGCTTGCATCTCACGGTTTGGATGCGACCGGTCGAACCCCTGGCCGGTCCGCCGACGCGTCGTACTGGCCCTTGTCCATATCCATCGACTCCTCACCGGCATTACCATGTGAGACGAGACAAACGAAGCCGTGGACTTATTACCGATCGACGCGGAGTGCACCAACGTGCGACCCATGATCGTAGATTCCCTGACCTTTCTGGAATATAGTATCTATTTTTGCCACAGAAGGAGCTGGTCAACTGGATGCTGAGTTCCTGATTCAGACTCGCACATGCCGCCGCCTCCTTCGTTTGTGCCATGGAATGTGCTTCCTCGTACCTTACTGGAGCACTAGTACTCCCATTTAGAGCTTATCTCAGCATCTTAATCTCTGCACGAGATTCGCAGAAAGAAAAAGAAAAAGAGGTAAATACACTAGAGGTTTTAGAACTTGCGTGCGGCGGTTACTTTGGTGCACAAAGTTGTAAAATACGTGTTTGTGGTCATTAAACTTGCGAGGCCGTTCAAATACAGTCACTCTCACCGTACGCATGCGTATCCGTAGACGCCAGCATGGCACGGACCCGCTGTCAGCCACCGTAATTGCTCTTGTATGATAGATTTGTAGAAAAGCCCGCAGTTCTTTTTTTATTTACATAGAAACCCCTAAAATAAGAAAAATAGTGGGGCGGCGGGGTTCCATACTTGGACGTACTGCTAAGTGGCACGATTGAACAACCACCACGCCAACAGTATCATGTGTTTACTTTGCACTACTATATTAAACTGTATATCCTATCAGGGTGGACCCAAAAAGTGATAATGAAGAAATTTATGTCTTCTAATAATAAGAATGCAAAGTGCAACCGGTGGGTTCGAACCTGTGACATGGAGATTCACTCGTGCATAAGCCAACCACCAAGCAACTGCGACATGTGATGTAATTTAGAGATAGACAATGTATATGTTTTTATCACTCTTGTTCTCTGTAAGTATGTGCCATTTAAAAAAATGTTTAAACATTGTAAAAAATGTTCGTGTAATTCAAAATATGTTCATGCAATAAAAAAACTACGCGAACAGTTTTTTGAACCATGCGAGCATAATTGTACATTGTGTAAAACTCACAATTTTTTTTGAAATGTGTCAACATTTTTTAAATGCAATGTACATTTCTTAATTTACATGAATATTTTTCATAGTGTTTAAACATTTTTATAAATGCCATGTAGTTTTTTAACGCATGTACATATTTTGAATTGCACAAACAATATTGTTTGAAAATAATACATGAACAATTTTTTCTGATCCACGAATTTCTCAAATAAAACGAATAGGTGTTATTATGAATATTTAAAAACTATTTGTGTTATTATTATGCAAACATTTTTATAATTCATAAGTATTATTTTAGAATAATACATGAAAATTATTTGAAATTATCTTATTAATGGCATTATAATTTGCATACTATCTACAAATTTCTGAAAAATAAACAAGTGCAAAATGGGTCGCCGGACCACAGCCCATTTCTGTTCCATGAGCGCTTCCGTTTTTATACATTAATCTTAGTTACTCTTAATAGCTGTCTACAGATGTGTGGCACAGTTTGTGTGACCTGTATTGTACTAGCATTAGGTCAGGGTTCGAGATCTGGCAGTTAAACTTTTCGTCCCATCGATTGTTGATTTTTTATTTTGCATAGAAGAAGAAGAAGAAGAAGAAGAAGAAGAAGGGGTTTTGTGCAAAAATGCGTCCATGTGTCATTGACAGTGGGCCCATGCCATGCTGGCATCGACGGATACTCTCGCGTACAGAGAGAGTGACTGTATTTAAACAGTCTCACAAGTTTAGTGACCACAAATACGTATTTTGTAACTTTGTGCACTAAAGTGACCGTCCGTGCAAGTTCTAAGACCTCTGGTGTATTTACCTCAAAGAAAAACCCCTGCACCAGACTCTTTTGTCAATAGTGCTGCCACTAGCACATGAAATCTGTAGTTTACACGGCCCGTTTTACAGAATCTCGCATCTAATCCTAGCGATCCAAACAGCCACTAAGCAAGACGGTGATCCAGGAATTATTATGCATTCTAAGGTGTTACAGTTCGAATCCAATGATTGATTCGTAGTCGTACTACGGAAACTGACGGTGTGGTCTACAGTTGACCGAACAGGTTAATTTAGGACTAGATGCAGTGTAGACCCCGTAACCAATTGCGGCGTGATCAGTGTCTTCGCACGATGCCATCTACCGACCGGTTGCAGCAGCATCCGACGTGCAGCCTGAGGTTGACTTCGACGTGTGTGGTAGCGTGGGGCGTGATCAAGTTGGCGTCAGGAGGCCAACTGCGAATTGTGCAATTTGATTAAGCTTTTCGGATTTTCTATTTCTGAGCCGATCGAGTTGTATATCAAGTTGTGTTGGTTTTGGCGGCAGAGTGAGCTCTGGGCTTGGTCCCGTCGCTGCGGTGCTCCCCTTCCGGCCGTGTCGCCGGTGGCGACTCCGTCCATCCGCAGAGTCCTGATGTGCTTTGAGTGTGGGGCGTTGTGGGGCGTTGGTGATTCCTCTGCTTCGGGTGCTCTGATGGGCGAGACTTTGACGTAGTTGTTTTGAGCTTCCCTGTCGA